CCTGGAGGAGCAGCCGCCCCCGCAGCCCAACGGCGGCGCCGGCCCCCCCGGGGCGGCGGAAGAGCGGCCCCCGCCGCCCGGAGCCGAGAGGGACGGCCCCGGCCTGCGCCGCAGCACCGAGTCCGAGGTCTACGACGACGGCACCAACACCTTCTTCTGGTGAGAGCCGCCCCTTCACGGCCCGGCCCCTGCTCCCCCCGGCCCGCTCCTGCCCTGCGGTCCCCCCGGTTGTCCGGGCGGCGCGGCGGAGAGCTGCCGGGCACCGGGCTGGGGAAAACGGAGGGAAAAATGCAAAACTGCGGCGCGTTTCTGCGATTTACCTGGCGTTTGGCTTCGCCGCCGCAGCTACCGGTGCTGGGAGACCGTAGGCTGTGTCTAAAGGTGCTTTTCCAGGTATTGCGGTGATACTAATTACCGCTTCCTGGCGCCGTGGCGGTGACTGGGGGCAGCGGCGCCTTCCCCGGCCCCGCCCGGGTCCCCCGGCGCTGGGGACCCCCCGTCTGGGCACGGGCTGGTGCCTGGTTCCGGGCGTTCTGCCGGCACCGCCGGTGTGTGTCAACCCCTCGGGCTCGGGAGGAGCCGTGTCTGTCCCTGTTCTGTCCTCACAGGACGCCAGAGTCCTCATCCCCAACGTGTGCCGGTGAGGTGTTTTGTAGAGTAGAGTCATAGGGTCTTTTAGGTTGGAAAAGACCTTTAAGATCGCGGGGTTGGGGGCAGCGGCGCCTTCCCCGGCCCCGCCCGGGTCCCCCGGCGCTGGGGACCCCCCGTCTGGGCACGGGCTGGTGCCTGGTTCCGGGCGTTCTGCCGGCACCGCCGGTGTGTGTCAACCCCTCGGGCTCGGGAGGAGCCGTGTCTGTCCCTGTTCTGTCCTCACAGGACGCCAGAGTCCTCATCCCCAACGTGTGCCGGTGAGGTGTTTTGTAGAGTAGAGTCATAGGGTCTTTTAGGTTGGAAAAGACCTTTAAGATCACGGAGTCCAGCTGTTACCCTGACGCGGCCAAGTCCAGCACTGAGCCATCATTTCCTATGGTTTTGTGGTGTGCTCCATCCAGGGAATCGGTGCAGAAAAGCCATGGCTGCCTCTGTTGGGCCAGCGGGGCAAATCGGGGTTCTGTTAGAGTCAGCCCTCGCAGGGAGAGATGCTGGAAAAATCCTCCTAAATCCCGTCTCTGCTGGAGTTGTTCCAGAAACCCCCTCCAGTGCACGTGTGTAGGTCTGTAGTTTTTCCTGTGTGTGCTAAACGCACGTCCCCCTCGACGAAGGAGCCCGCGCTGAGCGTGAGGTCCCTCGCTGGGAACATGAGCCGAGGGCGATATGATTTGGCTGGAGTTTGACATCAAGGAGCCGGAGGGGGAGGGCGCTTGGCTCTCACCCTGCCAGTGCGGGCAGCGGCCGGGCGCGGGGTGTCCGGCTGGATGAAGCCGCCGATTCCGGGGGACGTTTCTGCCGGTACCAACAGCAAAGGAAGGATTCCATGCTGCCGGGTCGCAGGGTGGTCTCTGCAGAAGCCTGACACGGGCAAGTGTAGCCGAGGGACGTCGTCTTGAGGGCAAGAGGACCTTTCTTGGAGAGCACATTGGAGAGCCACATGTCGGCTGAGCGAGCGATTGAATAACCGGAGCCTGCCGAGGTCTGCGGAGTGGTGCCATCTTATAAATGGAAAATGGGTAAAGCCATTGTTTTCTTACTGTCTGCTTAAGGAGGCTCTTGCCAGGAATTGCTGGTTTTATTGTATAATCTCACCCTGTTGCACCTTTTTCCTGTGGTGGGGGTGTGGTGCCAGTGTGCACTCTGCTGCTGGTACAGGGATTGGGGTTGTCACCCTGAAATATGGGCTGTAATTGCAGTTAATTTGTCCCTGTGAATGCTTCTTTTGAAGGTCCGAATGTGCCACCATTCTTTCAGGGGCTTCCCCTTTGTTGGCTAATCCCTTCCAGGAGGGCAGTTTAAATTGTTCCTTAATGTTTATTTTATTGTATTTTTCCCTAGAAGTGTAAGTTGCTTGTGCTGTCAGCCAGGAGTTAAAATGCTTGTAAAAATTTCAAGGTTTTTCCTACTGTTCCTTTTGACCCGTGGGTGCCAGCGTGTTGCCATACCCTTTGGGAATGACTCGGTTCCTACAGCAGCTGAGAATAAAGATTATACAGAGGAATGATCTTCTTCCTGTGAGCCTTGGTACTCTTCTTGCACTGTCTGTTACAGAGGCAGTCACAGAAAATGGAAATTTAGGAGTGTAGGTGCCCTCTGTCTTTGCCCGTGTGGAAAGTTCCTTTTCTCCTTGAAGTTTGGAAGCCAGTGGACATGGTTACTCTTGTAGCCTGCTCAGTTTGGAAAAATTCAAGAACTGGGGACTTGTAGACACAGTCAGAAATCATTCTAGAAGTAATCTTGGACTAGATGATCTCCAGAGGTCCCTTGCAACCCCATATGATTCTATAGTAGTTCAGTTTGTAAAGGTAATTTCACCGCTATAAACGCGGCCCTTGGGAACGGTGGTACTTCCTAGCTGTCTGCCTGCTCTTCTAGAATCTTTTTAAAACTTTGAAAAAGAAGTCACATGCTGTGTAATACTTCAGTTCTTATTCAGTCTTAATAACTGGAATCTGGAAAATACTCTATTTTAGCCACGTTGTGGGAACCTGCTCAGTCAGTACCTTGTCAGCTCTTTTTGTCATTGGGGAATGTCAAGGGAAGGAAACAGGGAGCAGCTTTATGAAAGGGATTATCCCCGGGCGAATCTTCCCACCTCTCTTCCCGCTGGCCGAGCGCTGGAGGGGCCGGGCCGTCCCCAGGCCACTGCTCTGGGCAAACGCGGCCACTGGTGTTCCCAGTACCTGCCATTGTTTCTTGCCTGTCCGCTTACAGAATTCTCTCTGAATGCAAACAAAGGACCTCTTTGTGGCTGAGGCTTTGACTTTTGTTTTTGTGCTGCGTGGAGCGCTGTAGATCTGATGTTTTTACTGAGCTAGCATGGAAAAACCACCAGGTTGGTTTTGTTTGTAGTGTGGCTTTTATTTTTGTTGTTTGTTTTTTTTTTTTTTTTTTAAATATCCCCACATAGAGTCTTCTACGTCTCTGTGGCTTGGTTTCTGTCACCCGTGGGAGAGTGACTCTGGTGTGTCTAACAGACTGGTGCTGCTGGGACTCGGTTCTGTGGGGGAAAAGGAGGATCCCACAGAAGCTGGGGTTTGGTGCCAGTGAGCAGTAACTGTGAGAGATGCCTAAAGATAGCTGATGCTGGAGAAAGAAGGGATGGGTGTCTTTCTGAGGGGGAGCAAAACAGCTTGTGAAATAGTAAATCGATTTATCTCCACTAAATCAAATAAATGATGAGAGTCGGGGTGTACAATTGCCGTGTATAAGCAACAAGCTTATACACAACAATATACAAGCAACTTTTCTGAAGAGCAAAGGAAACTTTCCTCCCTGTCCTGGCAGCAGAAGGTGGTGTGGTGTTGAGGCTGTTCATGCCGGCCCAGCCCCAGCCTGGATTACCAGTCTGGAATCTTCTAATTAGAAATTGTGTATAATTGTCCCCTGAAATTTCAGCGTTACCCCTGATTTCTGTGTCTATTTCATAGCTTGTATTTAACCAAAGCACATCTTCCAGGAAGGCTTCCAGCCTTGATGTGAAGATGTTGGGAGGTGCCAGATACATCCTTGCCGCCACATTACGTGGTGACTCTATGGGTTAATTGCTTTTGCTAAGCCTGACTTTAATTTGAATTTAATTACCTTTAATGTCCTCAGTTGGGTATTGATGCTTTTTTTTCTCTCACGCTAAATACTTCTGTCTTGCTGTCACGTGGAGGTTTCTGGGGTTTCCAGGGGGCTGATGGGAGAGGCTGGTGGCTTATCAGAGAGAGAGATTAGGGAGAGGGAAGATCTGAAATCGGCAGGAACGTTTTTCTGTGCCCTCTGGTGAGGATTGTGCAGCTCTTACAACACCCCGCGAGCTCCTTGGAAACTTCACACTTCCTGGATCTTTATTTTTCCATCCTATGCAAGCTTGGTGCCTTGGAGCGGGCCCAGGTGGGGTCCTGTCTTTGCTGACCCCCTCTGCCCGTTCTCTGCCTGCCCAGCACTGACCACGCTGGAGCACATTGCTGAACTCCAGCAGAGAAATCTTGTCTCAGGCCACCAAGGTGTCACCCAGCCCGTGGCTTTGGGGTGTTTGGGTCCCCCTGGCAGTGCCCTTTGCTGGGACGTGGTGCCATGTGAGGTGGGGTCCTCCCCAGTGGTGCCCTTTGCTGGGACGTGGTGCCATGCGAGGCCGGGTGCACTGACTCATGTGGCAGAGGAGGTGGCTGTCCCCTGAGAATTGTGACACTGGAAGGTCCCAGCCCTTTCCTGGAAGGAAGGGATCGCATCGTTCCCTCAAGTCAGCTCCAAGTGCGGAAGAAATCTCTTTATGCAGGGACCCTGTGAGAGTTCCCCTGCCAGGGCTTTAGGCTCTGGATCAGTTTTAAACTGAAACCTGAAACCAAGATTTCAGTAGGTTTAAACATATGAAAATGTTTAACATTTAAAACAGATCATCTTGTGAACTTTGATTAACTTGTGAACTTAGCAGAACTGCACAGTGGAGATTGGCTTTTCCCCCCTCATTGGAAGGCACACGGCTGGTTTGCTGAAGGTGCTTGGCTTTTGAATGCCCAGGTCTGGCTTCTCTGGAGGAACGAGCCTTGGTGCTTCTCTTGCAGCCATGGGTTTATGAGAGACACTGGCTTATGGCAAGGAAACTGAACGTTACTATTTTGGAGCGTCACAAGTATGTCCAGAAACTTAATCAGTGTTGTGTACCTTTAGAGATGTGCTGAAGGCTCGTTGCTGGTCTAAGAATAGGTGCCTTTTTTTTTTATTATCTCTGAGAGTTTAAACAGATTTTAAACCACACTCTACAGCTTCAAACCACGTCTCTGTTGCGTTGCAGACACAGATACTTGGAGCTTTCAGGCAGCGGTACGTACAAAGTGCAGACTTCGGCTTGGTGGCCACTAGTTATTTTTTTCAGAGAGATCTTGTGTCACAAACTGGCAGTTAAACGCTTAATTTTGAAATATTGAGTCCTGAGCGCTTGCTTCAGCCCTGCGCAACCTGAACGTCTGCTTCATGTCTCTAATTTGGGATATAATGCCAAGATTACGACCCATTTTTGTTGAAGGTTTCAAAAACCTCTCTATATCCAAACAGGACTGCTCCCATGTTATTTACAGTTTTGATTTTGATGTCAAAATGTTGGTCAGTTTTAAATTGTTACTAATTATTGTTGTATTTTCCCATACGTCTTTCCTGACAATAACTGCCCTCTGCCTTATTCTTCACAATAACTCCGCTGCTGTTGCAGTAATACCTTTGCTGTGTTGTCCATCTGTCATGTTTTCTTAGAGGTCCCAGCAGGCGTCAGATGGGGTTGGTGTACGGAGGGCAGGCAGCTTGGACAGTCGCTTAAAATCTCTTTTGAAATGCTTTTATGACTTTACTGTTATTTGGAATCAAGAAAAAAAATAACTTGTGAAGAAGTTGCTGCTAGGCTGAGGTGGGCCCAGCAGGGTTTGTTGACAGCCCCTTCCCCAGCAGGAGCTGTTAATGTGAGTCTCTAAAGCGGAGGGACAGAAGGACAGACCACTCTGCTGGTCCTTGGGATTGGGTTTTACTTAGGGAATTGACAAAAAGATTAATAAATAAATACTCTGCAGGTTGTTCTCAATGATTGTTATTGTTTTCAGGGCAGCCATTGCATCATTTCTGACAAACAAGAACGCTAGTGCAGAGCAGTGGATAGTAATTAGGGTGTGGTGCCACTCATTAAGCTGATTGTCCTTTGTGCTGGAGATGGAAGGAGGTCACCTCTCCACTGGGTATCGCTGCTCCTGGCCCTCCCCGTGCCCCCCCAAAAAGCATACTTACAAATAGCCTTAGGTCATTTTTGTCATCTGCTTTATTTGGAAAATTAAAGCTCTGATAGTAATTTCCTTGTAAAACCTGCAGTTTCTGAGTGTGACAGCAGGAGAAGAGAAGCTGGACTGGAACTGAGTCCCGTTCCCTGGGAAAGCCCGTGCTGTGCTCTGGGCTGAGGGGAGGGATGGGGCTGGGGGCACGGGCTGCTCTGGGCTGAGGGGAGGGATGGGGCTGGGGGCACGGGCTGCTCTGGGCTGAGGGGAGGGATGGGGCTGGGGGCACAAGCTGCTCTCCAGATTTTTATAAAAACAAGACTTGAATGATTTCCCCCAAACGCCCCAGTGTTCAAATGGGGAAAGAACTAGATGTGAGATACAGAAAGTCAGGAGGATGCTAGTGTGGAAAAATCAGCTATTTAATGTTCTGGCTTTTTAATAGTTTGGGATTTGTTGTGAATTCTCTTTGACCTTACTGGCCTTACGTATTTTTATATGTATATGCTCTTAGGCACTGCTTTCTCAGATTTTTTGACCTAAAACCTCCTCAAGCTGGTGGTGTCTGTGCCCCTGGTGCGTGGCCAGGCCGTATGTAATTCCCAGGGGAGATGCTTCACTCCCGGCAGCCTCCCCAGCTCCGTGGGGAGCGTAAGCCCTGCTGTGTAATTCCTGCAGTGCTTACCTTGCCGGGATCTTCTTAGCTCTGTTGTCTTCCTCTGGCTGCATTATTTTAAAGTCTATGTGCAGACTAAAATAATCCCTCATTATGCAGTTTAATTAGCCCAGGCTGGCTTCGCTGGTACGAGTACTTCTGTATGCTGCTCATTTTTCTGGCCACTGTAAATGTGTCACATTTAGTCTTGTTCCACGTGACTGTGGATTTCTGTTTTATTTTTTTTAGCTCTCAAGCTGTGGCAGGGCACGGCGTGTCTCTGTGTTTGCCTGTTTATTTGTTTTTTGCGCTGACAGGTAGGTTGACAGGAAGCTCTGCTGCCTCTGGCACCCGCCACCACTTTGTCACCACTCGCAGTTTTCAGCTCCAAGCTGCCAACCTGTTCTCCCCACAACAGACCCATCCCGACGTCTTTCTCCTGGCGGCTGGGTTTGGTGCCAGACTGACCGTACGTTTGCAGGACTAACCCGCTCCAAAACTTGCTGTGGGAGAATTGCCTTGGGTTGGAGGGGAGCAACTGAGTGGGAAGGGAGCTGGTGAGCTGAGGGGCCTCTTGGCTGTGGTTAGATAGGGGACTGTGGGGAGCTCCCAGGTGATGGTTGTGGCACCAAAACTAACCCAAAAGCAGGTTTGTGCCTGGAGCTCAAACACTGACTGTTTGCTTTGCTGCAAGGCCCACCAGGTGAGTGAAACCAGACCATCCGTGTTCTAGTAGAGGAGTTTCTAGAGGTGTCTATCTACACGAGGAGATGCTAATAACTGAGTGTTTTGGCAATTTCCATGACACTCAATGCCCTGAAAAAGTATTTGACGTCATAAAGGTGTTCAGATGGTGAAATGGTAAGATGGAAAACAGCGTTTCAAGGTCTATTTCGGTAGCCTCTTGGACATTAGGTTCAAAAAAGTAAACAATAAAACAAGGCATAATATAGAATGCATATCCTGTGATCAACATATAGGTTGGTTTTGTATTAATTATGTTCATATATACATGCAGCGGGCGGCACCGCAGTCTGGTTGCAGTGAATGGGAACGTTTAATTCAGCCCCCTGCCGTGCCGCCTCCTCTGGCAGGGCTGGATGCAGGTTTTGGACTCCTGTAGGTTACAAAATCGGCGCGAGTCAGGTGCGTGGCAGCCGCGGGGACGCGTGTGCTCTCTGAATCACCGGGACCCGGAGCTGGGGAGGCCGAGGAAAATGCCGCTGCCGAGCAGGGAGCTTGCTGCCACCAGCCTTTGCCTGCTTTTGCTGATTCCTGGCTGATTTTGAAAATACTCCTGGGTCCTTCTCTTTCTTTTTCCCCCGGAGCTGGTTAGTCCTTGTCCTCTGGGCTGCGAGGAAGGACGGTGTTAAAAGCCCAACACCTTTTTAACAGCGGCAGAAGAGGATTGCATCTGCTTATGAGGTATTGCCTGCGTTTCCCAGTGGGATTAAAGGGATGCTGCGAGAAGTGGCTGTGGTTTGGATTAGGATGAAACTGTAGTTCAAAATAACCATTACCTTAACTTCCAGAGCAGTTTTAGGTAGATTTCTGGGTTTGATGTTTGACGGTGTGTCAGTGGACCCCTTAAAAGTCCATGGTGATCTCTGGTTTATCGGGCACTGTGCAACTTGAATATACACAAACTTTGGTCTTTTGGCATAAACTGGAAATGTAGTGCTGGCTTGTATTACAATATCACCTGAAAAGAGCCGGTGTGTACAAATACTCCTTGTGATGTACTTTACACCTGCACACACAGACAAACAGTACCTACACATACTGTCACTCAGTTTCCCTGTTCTCTAAGCTTGGTGCTTTATACCTGGGTGATTTTCATTGCTTGTATTAAGAGCTGTTGTATAGTCCTCTAAACCAGGACTGGTGACTTTGGGACTTGATCTTAAGTGGCCAGACTTCCCCTTCTTCCCCTCCTCTGAGGTCAGAGGAGTTTTCCAGTGAAAACAATAAATGGCTTCTCATTAGGAAAAGAATTTTCAGTGTGACATTAAAAGAGTACATTTGTGGCACTGTAGGAGTGTTCTGTGTGTCAAACCCGTGGGTGTGTGTGTATGTACCTGTTCTTTATGTCTAGGATGAACTGGAACTGTGAGAATTACTGCTAATGAGGCATCTAGAGAAGCGTCATAATTCTTACAATTGCAACTGTCCTCATTCAGAGATTTTACCTTTTTTTTTTTTTTTTTTAATGACTAGTTTTTCTGGTAACGTGTAATTCCCGTGTCTGGAGTGACTCCTCCTGTTCAGTCTGAAGAGGCTGGTCCATCTGCTGCAGCTTTTGTGAACAGTCTCTGAAATACCTCCGTTGGTGCAGACCCTGCTAGTCAGGAGGGAGAGCTCTGGGGGTTGTTTCTACGTATTAGCACAGGTGGTGCTAATTTTTTTCAAGTTGCTGCTGTTCACTTGGCAAGTGTTTCCCCAAATCTTCCTTCACTGAAAGCTCAGGGCAGGGGGAACAGGCGAGACCCGTTCCTTGGCAGGTTTCTGTCGTGTGCTGGTGATAACCAGTGCGGTGCCGTTGGGAATGCTGCTTGTGGGCTGTGCCATTACACGTCCTCAGTATCACCGGGCGCTGTCTGTCCATCACGCTTCACTGACAGGTGAAAGGACGAGTTTTTCTGCTTCCTGACGTCAGTTTTCTCTCCTCTGCGTTTCAGGAGAGCTCATACCTTGACAGTCCTGTTCATCCTCACCTGTGCACTGGGCTACGTGACCTTGCTTGAGGAAACGCCACAAGATACAGCCTACAACACCAAGAGGTGAGTGGCTGGGAGAGCCGTGCTGTGTGAGAGGGGGCTGGGGCTGTACGGCCAAGGCACCGTGTGTGCTTTTACCCTGCGCATCAGCCTCCTCAAATGACCTTTGCATTAACTCCTTTAAATGCCCCAACCCTCAGAAAGTGACAAACCCAAGCCCGAGTCTGTGAGCTCCTCTGCTGGCTGCTGAATCTCATTTCTAATCGGTTTAGTGTCACTCACTGTCACACCGGGTGGTGCCGCCTCTGTGTGGTTTAAAACAAAATACAAAACTCTTCCTAAAGCCTCAAAGTACTGGCTGAGTTTCTCTGGCAATGATTCTGCCTTTTTCTCTTAAAATAACCCAACTTTCTAAATTGTGTGAGCCGTGACTAAATTTTTCTGACGGAAGTGCTTTTTGTAAAATGATGTTCAAGATTTCAATACGGATTGTGATTTGTTGTTGAAAATTAACAGGAGAACTTGTAGCCAAAAGGGAAACTCTTGGGGAAAAAAGAATGAGATGAGTCTTATATGTGTGGTCCATTCCTACCATAATTTGAGCTAATTAAATGTAGCTGAATTACTCCTCTTTTTAACGAAATAAGTAGGGAAAAGTGGTCTTTTGATAATCTAAGTATGTTTTAAAAATTAAGGGTGTGCTTACAGACTGCAAAGCAGCCTTTCTATATGCATGGAAATCATTCTGTTTTCTACCAGTCTGGTTTCTTAAATACAATGCTGTTTTTCCCCTTGCTATTAAAGGGTTTCTTCCTATTTTTTTTACATTTTTTTAAAGTGACTCAGGATCTAGGATTCATTGTCGTGGCGGCGCTGGAGCTGGGGTGTTTCCTGAGATAGTGGTGGTTGTTCTGTCAGGCACACAATGGTCACTGGTGTCACTCACACATGTGCCGAGCTGGATTGTCACGCCTGGCAAGGTTGGAACACGGTGACCTGTCTGGAGCTGAGAAAACTTCTGCAAGGCTTTGGTGTGGTCAAATGCCATTTTATTCCTGTATAAGGAGGAAGGCCGTGGGGTGGATGGAGGCCTGGCATCCCCGGGAATGGCAGCTCAGAACAGAGGGGGTGAAAAGCTGGAAGAGAAGTGATGACACATCGTTAGGGAGTAATACAGATTTAAGGTGACTCAGTGGAATATCTTATTATTGAGATTAGAGCCTTTACTGCTTTAATAAAAACAAACCCAAAGAAGATTAATCAGCAGATTAACCTTTCTTTCATGAAATGGAAGTTGCTTTCTGTGTGTTCAGTGCAGGGAATAAGGTGACCAGTTGTTGAAAGCAGTTTAACAGCACCTTAGCAGGCAACGAGCAGTGAATGCCTTTTGATCACTTCTGTATCTCTGCTTGTGGATACTGCCTGCAATATCTAGATGCAAAAATACAGGAAAAACAGCATCCTGAGAATTGTGTACGGTCTTCCAAATTGTTTTTTTTGGAGGATACATCTCTGTTTCCACTCATGCTATTGCCGTAGTCATCCAGGCTACGTGCCAAATTCGGAGAGAGTTGTTACCTCAGCCAAATCATCACTTTTCCAAGCTAAAGATCAATGCAGACAAAACACCAGAGTGCTGTGGCCTCTCCTGAGCTTCACCTGTTGCCTTGGCCCCAGAGAGCATGGAGGTGTCTGTGGGGTTCAGCACCCTCCTTATGCTGAGTCAGTTCTCTGTGAGCTCCTCTCCGGTCTCAATTAAATCCCTTTCCCAAGGTCTTTGGGGGAAATGCTGTGCCAAATGTAGCACCAGTAATCATGAAGGATTCCAGCTCAGTTCCTGTCCCAGCTGTACTTACCCTTCGTTAGTGTCCGTGTCCCTGCTGCTGTTGCATCTCATTGTTCCTCACCAATTTTGTGTGGCTCTTTAAGTGTCTGTTTGAACAAAAAGAGGTATTTTGGAGCACATGATCAGAGCACAAGATGATCACAACATGCATAAATGTATCCATGTCCCAAATTTTCACAACTTTTTTTTTTTTGCTTCCATAACTTAAAATCCCTTATCCTACCCCGAGATCTTTCTCAGTGTACTGTAGAGCTGTTACATGTTTTGATCTGAAACGTTGGCCTGCGTGGGGCTGTCCCTGTGCGCAGACACTTGGTGGGAACGCTGCCCTGCTTAATGAGCAGCAGTGGGTTGGTGACCCCCGAGCATGTCCCGAGCTGTCGTGCTGCTTTATTTCCAACTGCTGCCCAGCGACAGAGAGGCACTGTTCCCCTGCTTAGGTGCAAAGCCCAAATGCACGCAGGCAAATGCTTCAGCCTCCTTTGTTTCCAGGCTCTTGCTGCCAGGTGCCAGGCTGCGAACGGCGGTAGCTGCTTAGAGCAGAACATTACATTGAAGTAAAGAACTCAAATTGCCATGCGTGTTTCCTGGAGTAGCCAGAGGAAGGAATCTGGGGCTCCCTCCCCTCTTCTCCCCTCTAAAAGGGCTTCCTTCACCCAGGCCCTTGGAGAAGCAGCTCTGGGCAGGATGAGGGGCTGGATTCCTGCAATAAGTCACCAGGAGAAACTGTGGTCAAAACCCAAGAGGATGTACCTATGAGATCATGGGGTGTGGTGTCCCTAGCAGAGATTTATATTTGCATCTGTTTATAAACTGGCATTTCAGTGCCACCTTCCTTCCTGCTACATGTTAGGGCAATAAAGGAGAAAATTTATTTTTTTTAAGATAAGGTTTACAGAAATGTTTTACATGCAAATCTAGTTGAAGTTCATTAGGGTCACACACAGAGATGTTGGTGTGATCATGGGAGATGTGTGATCAGATTGCCTCTGCTGTAAACAGTTGAAGAATTTTCTTTGTTAGCTGCAGAGATGCTGCCCTGCAAGGCCTGTCTGGTCAGTGAGACTCTTACCCACAGTTCCTACAGCGTTCAAAGCTGCCATGAGATAGTTGGTCCGTCCTGTGTGACCACCCTCTGTGCAGCCCCAGGAGGAACTGACAGGATCCAGCTCCAAGGGCAGCTAAAGACATGTTCAGTGACCTCCTTGGCATACAGTGGCTGTGGAGAAAGTCCATGTCTCCCAGATACTTTGAATGCTGAGCAGGGGGTCTTGGGGAAAAAAGTTAATATATTTTCCATATAGAGAACGCATTCAAGTTTAAAAAAGTCCTGTATGCATCAGGGTTGTACATTGAATTTCAAGCCATGAAACAGTCTCTCTTCCAAGATGCCTTTCTGCACTAGATTTGGCAGTCACTGGTCACAGCTCGGCCATGGTAACGGTTCTGTTAAAGCCTAGATCTAGTCTGGGGGTCTGTGTGTTGGCAAGAGGATGATCTCCAGCTCCTGTGGCTGAACACCTGCAGAGAACACAAGGTGAGGAGGAGGCTCGACCTCTGCCTGCCAGGCCCGGGCTTGGGCTACCAGTGAGGGGCTGGTACCAGTCACTGCAGAAGGGGCACGGGGCGCTGCGTGGGAGCTGCCTCCTTAAGGGCCCAGAACAAAGGGCGATACAGACTCACAGACAAGAGTCGTTGTCTTGTGTCCCCCAGTCCGCTCTTAAAACAGACAGACAATAACTTGTTTGTACTGATAAAACTGTTGCCACGTTCTCTCTTTCTTATTTGGTTAAGTGCGAAAATGATTTTTGTAGGTGTGCTTTGCCATTTAAATGTCTTCCTGAGCTGCTGCCGGAGAGAAGGCCTGAGCCCTGTCCTGCCAGGCCGCCTGCTGGGGTGATTTGAAGAAACCTCTCTCAAAACCTAGAGAAGGTCTTCTCTCCAGCCCTGGAAAGCAGCAGCCCCAGTCCTGGTTGGTCTCTGCAGGCTTCCTAAGGAGGCAGCGTGATGGTGTTAAGGAGAGAAATTTAGTTACTGCAGGGAAAAAAAAAAAAAAAGGGATAATGGAGCTGGTGTGGTTATTATACCAGTTTGTGATTTTCTTCCGAACTTCCCATGGTGAAGGTGAAGTAAAGTAATCCAGCTGGAGCTCCGGCTGACTTCGGCCTGGCTGCTGTTTGCCAGGGAGTGGATTTTAGAAAAAGGACATAACTGCAGGTTCTGGTGGTGACTTAGATTCAGGCCATCCCCAGCTTTGGGCAAATCACCCTCCCTGGGCCAAAACCAATGACCCTGGACATCTTGGCTCCTGGCTGAGCATAGCGAGAGCCCACAGAGATGTGTGGTGGTACTGGGGTCAGAACACAGACTGGTTGGTGCAAATGTCAGTTTGTAGGCCTGGGATTTCCAAACAAAGACTAGTGACTCAAAACACAGGATATTCTCATTATTTGAGATCAACTGAAAACTTTTTTAGCATCTTCATCTTTGAAAAGTGTGATGGAACAGTCTGTTTGCTGTTGCGTTCAGGAGCTAGTCCTGTTGTGTTTCCCGGTGTCACAGAGCAAGTGAAATACCCAGGAACGTCTCTTGGGGAAAACATTTGTATTTTCAGGACACAAACATTTTATACACAGAGGCGAATGTTGCAAAACTGTTTTGTATTTTCAGGACACAAACATTTTATACAGAGGCGAATGTTGCAAAACGGTTTTCATAAATCCTTTTGTTTTCTATTTTGAAAGAAGATTTTGAAATGCTTCTGGTGTGTAACATTTTCTCAATAAAAGAAAAATTATTAGTTATTTTCTCTGGCTGCTGCAAACAGCCATTTCATTTACAGCCAGGGGTTGCACCATTTGCTGCAGACACGGCTGCGCTCAGCCTGTGGTGTGGTGAGGGATTTCTCAGCTGTACATCTTTTCAGCAGCTCTCAAGCAGGAAAAGAAAGTTCTATGGGGAGTTTGGATGTACAAAACCAGAGCGTTTTGGGACTGCATTATACGGTTTCATCCATTGAAAGACCAGACATTTTTTACACCAAAGAGCATAATTTCCAATTTCATGAGGAAGATGAAACAACATAAACTGTTCTGTTTTCCACTTTCAGGGGTATTGTTGCCAGTATTCTGGTTTTCTTGTGTTTTGGAGTTACACAAGCTAAAGATGGACCATTTTCAAGACCTCATCCAGGTAACTTCAGTTGCTCAAGTCACTCAGATATTTCTGGTACATTGCGTGGTTTGTGGTGAACGTAAATATTTGTGTTACTTCTACAGAAGGTAGGTTGTAATTTAAATAATAACAAATCAGGTTCATTAGCACTGCCCGCTTATCACGTACCTTCCCAGCTTCCACCCAGCCTCCAAACAGCACAGGGATCCTGCACTTTCCATCTGTGGGTACCAGAGGACTTTTATTTATTTTTATCTCCCTCTTCTGGCTTCCTGTTGCTAGTAAAAAGCTTTGTGGGAACTGCCAGATTCTGGAAACCTTAAATTCCTTTGTTTATCCCTTCTTTTCCCCCTCCTTTCTGTGACAGGGCTGTGCTGCTGACCACACGGCCGGTTGCTGGTCCCTGCACTCCCTTTGCTGGCTGTCCATTAGCCGTGATAACCACAGCCTTCTAGTCCAGCAGTTGGGGCTGTGCTGCTGACCACACAGCCAGTTGCTGGTCCCTGCACTCCCTTTGCTGGCTGTCCATTAGCCGTGATAATCACGGGCTTCTAGGCCAGCAGGTTTGATTTTAAAGATTTCTAGTAAGACTGTAAGTCTTGAAAGCGTTTGAAAGCACAAGACAAAACCTCTTCCATGTAGTGTTATATCAGGTGAAGTATGAAAATATTAAAATATCTTTGATTCTTTTTTCTTTCCTCATTTTAAATGTGAGTCATTGAGAAAGAATTAAGGGAATTTATATAGACTTATATAATATTCCTGACAGCATTAGGCTCTCCTACAGTCAAATAAAGCTGTAAGTATTTCTTGTGCCAAAAATGTAATGTTCCAGTGTAGGAATGCTGTTCTGTATGAGGAACTGCACACGTTCAAAACCTCCATCAGAGCAGATGTTGTTCTCGAGCACGGCCCACAGCACGCTCTGCAAACGTGTGCTTTTATTCAGAACTCGGTGTTTCTGAGGTCTTATTAAATAGAAGTTTTTGGTCTTTCTGTTACAGTTAAGTCTGGTTCCTCCTATAGGACAAATTGCTCCTTTTAAGGACAGCAGTGATGTTTGAGTGCTTTCAGTGTCAGACCCTCCAGTGGCTTTGTCTGGGACAGAACCTGGTTTTGTTCCCTGGAACAAAGTGGTACAAATGGGATGGGGGGAGTCCGAAGGTCAGAGACATCTACAGCCAACATCTAGCGTAGATGGAGCCAACATCTACAAAGGTCAAAGACCTCTACAGCCAACGTCTAGCACAGACAGAGCCAACATCTACCACCTCCTGTCTTGGGAGCAGCAGTTATGGGACCAGAGCTGAGTGTCTCCAGAATCAGGTGGCCCCTGAACAGGGTGATGGGAGAATCCCCTGTGTATTCAGCCACTTCAAACGCTGGGTGCATTCACGTTCTCTTTTGTATTTTACCTTCACCTTTCCTCCAGCTCGTGTGGTGGTTTGATCTTCTGAAGAGGGGCTTTCAGGAACTGTAGGGGTTTGGTAGGACAGTGGCTGCTCGCCGGGTTGCAGCAGGACATGGTGGTGCCTTAAAAAGGAGAATAGTCATCCTTTCCCACCCCTCTCCCGTGGAAGGCTGTTGGGCAGCAGAGGACGTGGCGCTGCAGCCCGGCGAGATGCCGTGGTGGCTCTCCAGTTACAGGGCTGTGCTGGGGAGTTCAGCCCAGGCTCTGACCTTGGCTCGGCGCTGCTGTTCCCGGAGAAAGACCTCATCCCAAAGGAACTGGGAGCGGGGCCACCGCTGTGCCCTGCTTCCATTTATAGGGCGGAAGGAAGCCCTGGGCCAGCGGGGACACTGCGGTCACACCGCGGGGCTGGCACACAGCTCCTCATGCTGGATCTTGGGCACAGCCAGCCTTCCTGCCCGGCTCCTCTCCCCTCATTCATGGAGCCCCAGTATTCAGTGTGTGGCTACCTATTTCTGGCCACCTTGGAGGTGGTTTATATTTTTGTCTGGGTTTTGTGCCTGATGTTGTTGTTCTGTTTAACAGCTCTTCTTGCCCGGTGTTTACCCTCCTGATTTATTTATACATGGCTCACCGGTGCCAGCTCACCCTTGGTTTCACTAAAGCAAACAGGTTTTGCTAAAGCAACAAGTTTTGCTTGTATTTTCCTCCCTCAGTATTAGTTTGCTTTCCGTAGAATTTTGTTGCCTGCCCATTTAGCCCTTTGGGTGGCAGAGGCCAGGCTCGGGGCACTGTGGGTCTGGGGGTAGGTGGGTGGTTGTGCCCTCAGCCCGGCCGTGGCTCTCGTGAAGTGCTGGTCTTGTGTTCTCAGCCTCCCTACAGCAGCAGCACTGCAGTGTTTGAGCGTGGTAATTACTAAACTATCAGGTATGTAATGATTAGGTAGGCTTCAGCTAATCAGGGAGATAGTCCTAATTTGCGGGAGGTTCATGGTGACAAGTGCGTTTAAGGAAAACAAATATTAAGTATGCCAAAAATAACTTTATAGCTGAAGCTGAGGCCAGTCCAGGAAGAGAGAGAACACAATGTTTGTACAGCTTCGAAAACATCTTGTTTCTGGTGTACCCATACAGATAGAAAGTCGGCTTCAGACCCTCCTGGGCACTTACGTCAGCTGGGGAGAAAGCACACTAAATTATAACCAGGTCTTTCATTTTTTTTATTCTGAAGTATCACAGAGCCTGTCCAGCAGCTGCAGACCCTCTGTTGCCAGAACCCTATGTATACAGGAGAGGAAAAGCTCTACTAGGGCTTTAGATGTTCCTGCTCTCTGAACTGTATGTCCATCAGTCCAGAACGGCTCTGGGGAGAGGTTTCTCTCCAAAAAAACCCACTGTGGCCAGTGGAGGCGTTTTTGCTTGTTTGTTTTTCCTGAGCTGTGTTCTGGAAAGACAGAAGGGTGCACGCTCCTGGTCATCCCTGCCGGGTGCAGTGGGTTTGGCAGTTAATTAAATGTGAAGGAAGGAGACAGAGCTCTCAAGCCATGGTTTCTGCAGCTGTTGTATGAGCGGCGCTGGGTATTGCCTCTGCCAGAAGGCAGCCTGGACTCTGCTTTTCTTTCCCTCCAGGAGATCAAGGGGCAAAACCACCTCGTACCGAGTGTTTGGAGGTTTGGTTGGTTGGTTAACTGACTGACCCCTGAGAAGACACTTCAGCCTGTTGCATAATTAAGAAATGGCAATTATGTTTTGTAGACTTTAAGCAAAAATCTTAGAAGTTCCAACTTCCGAGTGGATGCTGCTAGAGAGCTCTGAACTCCCTGTCATCCAGCTCCCCCTGCCTGGTTTGTTTTTCCTCCCCTGGAAGTGTAAAGTAGGCCATTTTGATGAAATTAATTTTGCAGTTTTGCTGGAAAAAAAGGTTACACCTTCTCACATTTCAGTCTGTTTTAACGATGGTGTCAGAAGCAGACTGTTAGGGACTTCTTTTAAAAATGTGAATTATTTTTCACCCCCTCCTCGAGGCTGAATTGGGTAAAGATGATGTTTATCTTAGTTTTAGGGGGCAAGGAAGCCTCTGTGAAGCTCTGCCAGACCATGGCTGGCTGCTCTCAGGTTCTGAGCCGATAGACAGCTCTGCCTGCAAGCCTGGAGCTGATGCCTGATCCTTGCATTATTTCTGTCAGGGTTAAGCATTCACGTACCGAAGCTGCTGGGGAGTTACTAGAGAGAAATGCCCAAATGGGCCTGAAGGTTGTTGGGTTTCTCACTTGGTGCAGGTCCTGTTGGTGCCGGTGGAACCCCTCGCTGTCCCTGCTCCCCAAAGGAACAACCCCCTCGGCTCCCCCGTCCCGTTCTGACTGTCACCCAGCCGTCCCCATGGAAGGGGAGCCCTGGTTTATTATAGGTGTAAACAGGAAACACCTGAAGGAAAGTCTATTAAAATCATTCCAGAGTGATTAGCGTGTGGCGTTACTGAGGGATTTAAATATCCCCTTGGGCTGAGTCAGGTTTTGCTGAACTACCTTGTGTAAAGGTTGGGATGTGGTCAGGAAAACCTGCTGGAGTCCGTGCACATCCTGGCTCTGTGCTAGCCGCCTGGCTTCTGCACCGGAGCTAGCTGAGGTGCTGGGGGAGATTTCCGAGCCCAGGAATCACTTTACAAGGCCACTCTGGGTGGCTTAGGATGAGTTGGGACATGAAGGCAGCCCCTGGAGCACAAAGCTCATAGCCAGGGCAGTCAGAGCCTGCTCCCAGGGGACTGAGTCCTTTGGGAGAACTGAGGTGAGGAGGACGGAGCTGGAGGTGCATAAATACTGTAATTTGTGTGCTTTTTAGAGTCAGGTGATGCTCCAGTGTGGGGAGAGCTGTAATCACACATCTGGGGAGGGTGAATAAAGACTGCAGGCTCTGAAGCAGCTGAGTTTTGCATCATGTTTCTCTTATGAAGGGTCTAGATGATCTCATAGGTCTTACAGCCAGCACCTGCTGAACCTCTGGTGCTTTTATTTATTTCCTAGTGAAAGTGAAAATATCACTGATATTTTGAAATGCTTTCTGCCCCTTGAGGAAAGAACCTTGTCTTCAGGGAAAAGGACGGTTTGTGGAAGTAAAAGCAGTGGTTCCTGCTGCCTGGCATAACAGCTCCTGGGCAGGAGGTGGCAAAGTGCATTAGTTAGGATGGGAAGCCCAAAATTGGACAGGTCAGGCAGGTTATGTGAGATGTGGAGAAAGATATCAGACCTTAGTCCAGGAAGGATGTAGTTCTCTCCCAAGGACTGGTAGAAGGCATTGCAAGTGGCATGGATCTTTCCTTCTCGTTCCTAAATATTTGGTTTGTTGGGTTGAAACGTTCTAATGGATCCCTGTGTATCGTGGCCGGGCTGGCAGCCTCTCTGGCCGGGCTCTTTGGGGAGGACAGGGAGCACTTCACCTGAATGCTGGGCTTCATCCTTCCCCAGGGCAGCATCCCTTCTTGAAGTGTTGGGTTGTGTTACAGTCAGTGGCCAGTCAGAAGCTGTTGTGCTTGGAAGCCTGCTAACCTCTGGGCTGTCTCTTTCTGCAGCTTACTGGAGGTTCTGGCTGTGTGTCAGCGTCGTCTATGAGCTCTTCCTCATCTTCATACTCTTCCAGGTAAGTAACCCAGACCGCTGGTTCCTAAATGCCAGCTTAATAATCCTTTGTGGTGGTCGTTAGGATTCTCACTGCCTACAGGAGATGCTCTTTGTTTTTGTGAAACCAAATCATGTGCTATTTAACGAGGCTTCTAGGTTGAGGAAAAATTAGGATATTATAAAGATATTATTTCTTCTTGTTGTCTACCCTGCTGTTTGTCTCAGCCTGGGTCAGGCACCGCAGTGATGTGTTCTTAAATGAGTTGATGAGGAGTCAGAGCTCTTGTTGAGATCGATGGATCAGGAGTTGGTGTTTGGTCGCTCCTCTGCTGGCCTTGGTGTGACTTGCTGGGATCACTTGCCAGCTGTTAGTTTGGAAATTCTGCAGATCGTGGGATGATTTCATGTTGTTTCATCTTCTGAAATACTTTTTACCTTGAATGATAGCCGCTTTGAACGTTTCTTTTTTTTTTGCATTAAGCCAAAACTTCATCTTTTTACCTTGAATGATAGCCGCTTTGAACATATTTTTTTTTATTATTTTTTTTTGCATTAAGCCAAAACTTCACACACAACTCTGTAGCGGCAGCAAACTGAGGATGGTGTGTTTTCTAGAAGGACACACTATTGATACTTCCAAATAAAGCACTGTATTTTTTACCATATTCTTGTCCTTTGGTACACTGAGAATTTTCCCCTGGCTTTTACAATTCTCTGACTTCTGAGAAGTGCAGCAGTGGAGGTGAAGCACTGAGGGGCAAGTGAGGGCAGTGAGGCTGGTGCTGTTCCCAAAGCCCGGGAGTTCCCGTGTGTATCCACACCCTGCACATCCAGCTGGAGTGCCAGGAAAGAGCCTGAGGTTTTGATGGAGACTCACTTTTCCTTGTGAGAACCCGTGCTTCTGCAGGTACCACCACATACTCCTCAGGTGGCTTCAAAAAATCATTTCAGATGAGAGAAGGATGAGGAACTTATTTCAAAACCCACTATTTTGCCTGTAGAGGCCAAGTGAGGTGAAAGGAGCGGGGCTGGAGTTGAGGTGGCGGGAAGTGTCACCTCTCTTCTGTCAGAGCAGGGCATTTGCTTTGCAAACAAGTTTTTAATATTGATCGACCCCTTTCCAGCTAATCAAAGGTTTCCTTTGGCTCCAGCAGTTCTTGTTCTGCTTGGCTTTCCTGGAGCCTCCCCAAGAGTCAGTGCCAAGCTCTCCTAGGAACACAAACTGGCCTTGCTTTTTTTTTTTTCTTTTGCCTTTTTTTTTTCTTTTCCCCCAGAAGGTGCCCACTTTTTTTTTTTTTTTTTTCCCCCAGAAGGTGCCCGCAGCAGGACCAGTGAGCAGCAAAGTGAGTTTTTGTCCCGCTGACATCACCTGGGGGTTCTGTGTGAACCCTTACGCAGGGCCCTGCTGTATCGTTAGGGTTTCATTTTTAATTGCTAGCACTGCCGTGGCTGTGAACTCTAACAGGAAAGCCTGGAATTGCTTTGCTTTCCTGGCGGCGTGTCCTGCTCGAGCCGTTTGGGTGTTCAGGACACTCTCGAGCTGTTGCTCAGCTCTTTACTAAAGATACCTTGTTACTTTGCACAGGTTTAAATGAGGTTAAAATTATGCTGAGTCTGCAAGTGACTGAACTTCCTTAAAAGCAAAGGCAAGCTCGCTCCTAGCTGAAACTTGCCTTACAGTTAAGGTGACTTCACTGGGTTTATTCTATAATTTTATTATGATGGCTACTAACTCATTGTGCCCTTGCCCTGCTTCTCCTGTGGCCGGTCTGTGCTGGGCGTTACGCTGCTGCTGGTGTGAGCCCCTGAGTGCAGCTCTGAGCAGCAAACCACCTTTCCCTCCAGCTGCTGGTCCCGGTGCTGTGGGCTCCTTCCCGGGCTGGGAAACCCGGGGGTCACTGACACGGGAGGTGCAGCGTGGAATGAGCCTGTCCCCTGTCCCTGCTGCGGCTTCAGCCCCGCTGAGCTGGAGTGAGAGCAGAAGGGCCAGTGGGAAGGGTGAATTGTGAGCCAGCCCGAGTACTGAGCTTCTGGGAGGGAGGTGGCATCGAGGGGTGGCTGAGGACATGGAGTAAAAGAGCTCTGATTTTTCATCTTTACAATATTTTAAGTTCATTCTGTAGCAATTTTTTCCTTAGTATTTAGCATTAGAGGCCCAGAAAGTCGGGTGTTTATACATACATATGTATATATACATATATATACATATATATATGCCCAGGGAGGGGGTGGAGTCCCCATCCCTGGCTGTGTTTAAGGGCCGTTTAGATGCAGTGCTGAGGGACATGGTGTAGGGGAGGACTTTGTAGAGTAGGGGAGATGGTTGGACTCGATGATCCCAAGGGTCTCTTCCAACCTGAACGATTCTATGATTCTATATGCTGTGTGACACTCCAGGGTCTCGATGTATTTCCAGAATTGTTCTGCAATACATGTTTAAACCCCACCCATTTGAGGGTGCAGTGTTGATGTCAATTCTCTGTACTCTGTGCTGACCCCCGCTGAGAGGCAGTTTGTTCCCCGCAGACGGTGCAGGACGGCCGGCAGTTCATGAAGTACATCGACCCGCACCTGGGCGTCCCTTTGCCAGAACGAGACTATGGCGGCAACTGCCTCATTTATGATCCCGGCAACAAAACGGATCCCTTCCACAACATCTGGGTAAGAAGTAAACAGAGTTACTTGCTAATGAGTCTGACTGGTTTTTGGTAAAAGGTTGATTAATTGAACTCTGTAGAGCCCAGTCGTGAGTCCTTCTGAGCGTTGAATGAGAGAACAGGTCACAACTGGCTCTTTTAGTGTCCTTATTTCGCTTCTCTTGACCTTCCCTGTTGATCAGATGGGGATATGTCTCTCTGGGTCCTAATGACATTGCCCAGGAGAGAGAGTGAACTGCTTAACAAGCCTTGTTTCTCAGATTATTGATGTAAACCTTTTCCCCTGGGAGTTTGGGTTTATTTGCGCGCTTAAAGAATCTTCTGCATGCGATCCCCTGGGGACACCAGGTTCAGAAGGTGCATGTTGCCCAGCAAGCCATAAGTTGGGCTTTTCTGAGCACCAGAAAATGTCAGGTTATTGTTTCTTGCTGGCAAACAGGAGACTCGGGATTTTATTGCTGCATTTTTCTTGGCAGGGGAAAAAAAGTCAGCATTAATGGGTTATTGTTTGTGGTGCAAAGTGACCTACACCCTCTTTTTGGTTTGTAGGACAAACTGGATGGATTTGTTCCTGCTCACTTCTTTGGCTGGTACCTGAAAGTAAGAACCTGTTACGCTTCTGTGACCGTGCTAGTCTGCTTGTAAAGCCTGGCTGCTTCTGGTTTGGTGATGCCAGTCTCCGTGGTCAGTTATATCAGGCAGTCATCTGTGAACTGGACTGTTTGGAATATATGAAAGGCTTTTTGTTTCCTTTTTTTTTTTTTCCTCTTCTCCTGACCGTGTCAGGTCACCTCATTTCTCTCCAAAGTAACACCACACTGACAGGCTCCCTCCTCCACTGTAATGCATTCTCAGGTCAGATCAATAAAATTAAAAATCCTTTACTCCTGTAGTGAGATAAATACTTGACAGAACTTTGAGTGCTGAGTACGGGGAAGGCAGTGAAGACCTGCTGCTACCCAGGCACAGGTGATACCCTGCTGCTCTTCCCAGGCAGGCTTTTTCCAGTGCATCCCAATCAGGACCTTAGATCACTAAATGGCTAGTGGTTAAATTCCTGTTACTTTTTAGTCAATATCAATCAGCAGTGGAAGGAATTCCAGCTGTGCTTGTCTCTGGCAGAACACTTTCAACGTGTGTTTTGCTGATACCTTTGGTCTAAATATTAGCTTTTTTTTAACCCAAGGAAACTCAGGAGCTAACTTTATTCTGCCCTGCAGACCTTGTTTGTTTTTTTACCCACAAGACCACCTTATATCATAAACTGAAAAAGCTCAGGCTGTTTTAAAAATAAGCTATATCTATGGTTTTGTTTTTCCTTTTCAAAAGTGGGGATGAATTCCTGTTAGTGGTTTGTTTTCCTCTGAGTTTTCTCCCCTGTAACCAGAAGATCAGTGTGGTAGGCAGGGGGAGGCTTGGACTTCAGATCAGCTTATCTGTGGCTGGGTACAGAATTAAATTTGGAGAAACTTGGATTTTCTTCATCCAAGAGAATTACATTACAAACTTAGATATCAGAATAGCGTTTCCATTGCATTATTTATTTTTACAAGACATGTCATACTGAGGAAAAATTGCCTAAATAGCGAGAGCCTGGGACCAAGACCTCAGGGGAGTAGTTCCTGAGGAACCAGAATGGGACAGAATTCCCTATGCCAGGCCACTCAGTTATTATCTGGCTTGGTTGGAAGACACCTTGTTTTTATTAGAGGCTGTTTCTGCAGAAATGGTGGAAATGGTGTGTCACCTTCTCAGCCTGCGCCCGGCCCCGCAGGGGAGTTGTTCCTCTGCTGCTCAGCCTGGAGGGAACTGGCTGCTGTGTTTCCTATTTGTCACTTCACAGATTTGTCTATAAAAAGCTGAAAGTGGAATGTGTTGTCTCCATAAACAGAGATGAGTGTGTGTTTGGGGTTTTCTTCTTTGGGTTTGGTGGTTTTTTTTGTCTGAGTAACAGACTCTGAAGGGCGATACTGCAGATGAGTGTGCCTCATTCGACAGAAATTGTTGTGGGCCTCCCCCTGTGCTTCGGAGTCACTTATATGGCATGTTGTCACACTATGGTGTGATAATGCCTGTCTTATGTTTTTCCACCTTCTGGTTGAGGCAGTCAAGCCCAAGCCATGTTCACTGTTCCAGAATCAGCTGGAGCACATTTGGGGTTGTCCCCTTCCACCCAGGTGCCCTGCTGAGGGTACAGCAGGTGGGATGTAGAGGCCCTTACCCACTTACAGATAGGAGATAAAGCATTACTGCAAATCTCTTCCCCTGTTTGGAGAGCAGGCTGAGACAATGCTGATGTTGTAAGACAGCAGCTTGGCTGGGTCCTCCTGCTGAGGGAGGCAGGAGACGCTGCTCTCCATCGCTCACCTGAGGAGCTGCTGGTGCAGAGTAGAGTGGGGTGCCCCAGCACAGCCAGGGCTGAGACTCCGTGCAGGTGACTTGTGAAGTTTGCACTAAACAGGCTCTGAAAAGCCTTTTTTGAGCAGTGGTAGAACGATGTGGTGGTGGAGCACCCAGAAATTCCATTCATTTCACTGACTTCCCTCTGGATCCCAGTTGCCTGCCTTTGGTCTTCCATGTAGCAGTGTTAATGGCATCATCTGCCCTCATCAGTGTCTGCCTCGTCTGTGGTGCTGCTTGAGGAGTTTAGAGACCCGTGGGCGTTTGCCTGTACTGGGCTATCACATGGTAAAATAAGATTGCCATGAGTTTCCTGATCCATTTCTGGGTACTGGAGACCAGGTATTCCACTGTACAAATAACCAGTAAACAAAGCACACCGTGTGTGTCCTCTGTCCAGAGTCCCTAAGGGTGATCTCATATTCCTTAAGTGATCGGTTTTGAAATTAGAAAAAAAAAAAAGTAATAATTTTTCCACATTCTGTCGCAAAACTGTAAATCTGAGCAGTGTATTTATGGAGTTCTCTTTTATTTAGATTTCTAAATGTCCTTATGTAGGTGGTGTCTGGTTTTACTCAGTCTGGTGTGCAAGTATTCATTTCTGTAATGGTATTTAGTACGCTGTGCAACTGTTGTGGATCTTGGAAACACTTTTTTTTCTGTCTTTATGTAGACTTTGATGATTCGAGACTGGTGGATGTGTATGATCATCAGTGTGATGTTCGAGTTTCTGGAGTACAGCCTGGAACACCAGCTCCCCAACTTCAGCGAATGTTGGTGGGATCACGTACGTACCGCATGGGTCGGGGTGTGTTTGGCCAAAGGGATGTATGTATTTTAAAGGGAGGGGGTAGGGGGTGGTGGGAACTAACTGACATTGTGTGCCCGAAGGGGGGGTGTGATTACTGCTGCTCAGGAGCAGACCTGCTTCTCCCTGTGGGGTTTTAATAGGTTTGTCACTGTTTGTATAATTTTGTGGGATTTCAAACTATTGCACATGGTTAAATATTTGGTTTGGTTCATTTCATACCAGAGAAGGAATCTGAAGCTTTACCTCATCCCTTTCAAATATCTGGTGATGGTACAAACCACAAAATCTGAAAAGCAGAGAAAGATAAAAAATTGGTGTGTAAAGTTTCAGATGGGGATTTTTCTTGCCTGTTAAAACAAAAACCCAAACAGGCTCAGTGCAGTTTCTGTCTGGCTCTTCCCTCTGTGCAAATGTTTTTACACCATTTTCTGAAAACAGTGAATATTACTATGTTGAGAATTTCTGGTGTGGTTTATAAAAAGCTTTTAAAAGCTCAAAGTTTGGCCTGACTGAAGAGCTGTTTGGTGACAATCTGTAACCGTTCCTGTCCAAACACACTGCCTGTGTCTGTTTTTCCAAGCCAGAGGGACTTCTGTGATCTAGTTTCTCTGTGGAAGAAACAAGCTCTATAGCTTATAGTGGCACACTTTTTTTTTTTTTTTTTTTTTTTAAATTTTCCTATGAAATATAAATTGCTTACCAGAGCGATCAAAATTACCTGCATTCAGGGCACACAGCTGGGGTTCTTAGGTTGTCTGGGCTTGGTTTTGTTCTTACAGTACAAGCTCTTTTCCCATCTTGTAATGATTTGCTCCATGGTTGTATTTATAAAAGGAAATGTATTATGTATAAAGACATCAAGCAAAGCTATTTTGATTTAAAAAAAAAACAACAAAACCTTCTTATGAAATAAACACTCTGTGCTCGGCTCCTTTGAAGGCGGAGGACAGCCAGGATTTTTCAGCTCAAGAGCTCAGTCTCCAGAATTAACGCTTGGCAATAAGGCAAGACGTGGGGAGAAATCCCTTCTTTAATTTCACCTCTTGAGCCTGCAGATGAGTAGTTTCTTTAGGAGGCAGCCTGAAGCTTAAGGAGTGTGCTAAGTGGTTGGGCACAGTAAAATCCAGTCCAGAGGAGAAGGTTCAGATTTTTTTTGGGTGTGTTTCTGAAGTTCTGAAGCTTGGGCTGCTGAGGTTCTTCCTCCTGAAGACCTGCACCTCCCTTCTCTGGGAGTGTCCCTCCTCGTGATGGGGGTCTGTCCATGTGTGTGTACCTACAGGGTCTGCCCTTCAGTGTTTCCCCTCCAGCATCACTGTGTGTTTCTACTTTCAGTGGATAATGGACGTGATCCTGTGCAACGGATTAGGAATTTACTGTGGGATGAAGACTCTCTCTTGGCTTTCTTTGAAGACATACAAGTGGCAAGGGCTTTGGAACATTCCTACATACAAGTAAGCTGGGGTAGGAAAACCCCACAGGCAGCCGCATGGGCCCACCTTAAAGCTGTTGGTTGTTGAAGAGTTGTTCAGTCAGGGTTAGTGTGAATTACAGAATTCGGGTGTGTTTGGATGACTCCAGTATCCAGTACCTTGTCCTGCATGGGAGCTCCTTTGTGAGAGTTTGATTTAATTTGGGAATGAAATTGTTGAAAACATACCTGTCTGCCCTGAGCATCGCCTGATGTCTGGGAAGGGGGGTGTCCTGGGGAAATGAGGTCTTTAATGGATTGGTAAAAGAGCAGGAGCCCGGGCTGGGATCATACTCTTTCATTCACAGAGGATCTGTTTGGTCCTTGTGCAAATAACACACTGCCCAGTAATCAGAGCTGCACAGGAACTGGGACTCTGAAACGTAAAATGTAATAAATCCCCTGTAGCCTTGGACCAGTACTGAGTGATCCCTTTCCCTAGTGGGTCTTTGCTGAGCAAAGCAGCCTGGGGAGCTGCTCGCTGCAGCGGCTGGAGTCCAGGATGGGCCAAATAACAGGCTTCCCTCCAACTCAGCGTGTTAATCTCATTAAGTAGTAGTTTTAATGGAGTAAATGGAGGCATTTTGCATATGTGAATTGGAGTCTCGAAGTGTTAGTAGATGCCTCTTATGTGCTGTTTCTTAATATTACAAGGATGTGCTCTGCTTTTTTTCCAGAGGTAAAATGAAGAGAATTGTCTTCCAGTTCACCCCGTACAGCTGGGTCAAATTTGAGTGGAAGCCGGCGTCCAGCCTGCGCAGGTGGCTGGCAGTCTGCGGCATCATCTTTGTGGTGAGGAAACTTCTGCTTTTCCTTTTCTCTGTCCTTTCAATGTTTTGTACCACCCAAGCAGCTGTACCATAGACTGAAACTGACGTGGTGTGTCTGTAGGTGAGGCTGGAAGGGATCACTTTGGAATCCTGCAGGAAGGGGTCCGTCTCCCTGTCTCTGGTGCAGTTTGCACACTCGTTGCACAAATATTTGCTCCCTCTTACTGAACAACATAGATTGGCAACACCAGCAATGTGAGTGATCACCTACACGTCATGCACCAAGTAGCTGCTGCTTCCAGAAGCATTGGTGTTGGGCGGAAGGCGCTTGTTTCATAGAATCATAGAGTTTCTCTCAGTCTGGAGCAGATACACATCACATCACAGCCATAACCAGAGCCTTGGGCTTCTGGGGGTGAGCTCTGGGCAGCGACGGCTCCTGAAGCACAGTTTTGCCTCAGATAATATTTTTATACAGGCTTAAATTGTTCAGTTATCCTAGGTATTTTGTTTTTCTTATATTTCACTGAACACACGTAATGGTGTTAAGTGTCCAGCTTGGCCAGTTCAGGTGAAGCAGCTCCCTGTTTAGAGAAAAGTGAAAGTTGGCTTCTCCCACAAGCTCTTTTCCCATCTTGTAATGATTTGCTCCATGGTTGTATTTATAAAAGGAAATGTATTATGTATAAAGACATCAAGCAAAGCTATTTTGATTTAAAAAAAAAACAACAAAACCTTCTTATGAAATAAACACTCTGTGCTCGGCTCCTTTGAAGGCAGAGGACAGCCAGGATTTTTCAGCTCAAGAGCTCAGTCTCCAGAATTAACGCTTGGCAATAAGGCAAGACGTGGGGAGAAATCCCTTCTTTAATTTCACCTCTTGAGCCTGCAGATGAGTAGTTTCTTTAGGAGGCAGCCTGAAGCTTAAGGAGTGTGCTAAGTGGTTGGGCACAGTAAAATCCAGTCCAGAGGAGAAGGTTCAGATTTTTTTTGGGTGTGTTTCTGAAGTTCTGAAGCTTGGGCTGCTGAGGTTCTTCCTCCTGAAGACCTGCACCTCCCTTCTCTGGGAGTGTCCCTCCTCGTGATGGGGGTCTGTCCATGTGTGTGTACCTACAGGGTCTGCCCTTCAGTGTTTCCTCTCCAGCATCACTGTGTGTTTCTACTTTCAGTGGATAATGGACGTGATCCTGTGCAACGGATTAGGAATTTACTGTGGGATGAAGACTCTCTCTTGGCTTTCTTTGAAGACATACAAGTGGCAAGGGCTTTGGAACATTCCTACATACAAGTAAGCTGGGGTAGGAAAACCCCACAGGCAGCCGCATGGGCCCACCTTAAAGCTGTTGGTTGTTGAAGAGTTGTTCAGTCAGGGTTAGTGTGAATTACAGAATTCGGGTGTGTTTGGATGACTCCAGTATCCAGTACCTTGTCCTGCATGGGAGCTCCTTTGTGAGAGTTTGATTTAATTTGGGAATGAAATTGTTGAAAACATACCTGTCTGCCCTGAGCATCGCCTGATGTCTGGGAAGGGGAGTGTCCTGGGGAAATGAGGTCTTTAATGGATTGGTAAAAGAGCAGGAGCCCGGGCTGGGATCATACTCTTTCATTCACAGAGGATCTGTTTGGTCCTTGTGCAAATAACACACTGCCCAGTAATCAGAGCTGCACAGGAACTGGGACTCTGAAACGTAAAATGTAATAAATCCCCTGTAGCCTTGGACCAGTACTGAGTGATCCCTTTCCCTAGTGGGTCTTTGCTGAGCAAAGCAGCCTGGGGAGCTGCTCGCTGCAGCGGCTGGAGTCCAGGATGGGCCAAATAACAGGCTTCCCTCCAACTCAGCGTGTTAATCTCATTAAGTAGTAGTTTTAATGGAGTAAATGGAGGCATTTTGCATATGTGAATTGGAGTCTCGAAGTGTTAGTAGATGCCTCTTATGTGCTGTTTCTTAATATTACAAGGATGTGCTCTGCTTTTTTTCCAGAGGTAAAATGAAGAGAATTGTCTTCCAGTTCACCCCGTACAGCTGGGTCAAATTTGAGTGGAAGCCGGCGTCCAGCCTGCGCAGGTGGCTGGCAGTCTGCGGCATCATCTTTGTGGTGAGGAAACTTCTGCTTTTCCTTTTCTCTGTCCTTTCAATGTTTTGTACCACCCAAGCAGCTGTACCAAGGGTACCATAGGCTGAAACTGACGTGGTGTGGCTGTAGGTGAGGCTGGAAGGGATCACTTTGGAATCCTGCAGGAAGGGGTCCGTCTCCCTGTCTCTGGTGCAGTTTGCACACTCGTTGCACAAATATTTGCTCCCTCTTGCTGAACAATATAGATTGGCAACACCAGCAGTATGAGTGATCACCTACACATCGTGCACCAAGTAGCTGCTGCTTCCAGAAGCATTGGTGTTGGGCGGAAGGCGCTTGTTTCATAGAATCATAGAGTTTCTCTCAGTCTGGAGCAGATACACATCACATCACAGCCATAACCAGAGCCTTGGGCTTCTGGGGGTGAGCTCTGGGCAGCGACGGCTCCTGAAGCACAGTTTTGCCTCAGATAATATTTTTATACAGGCTTAAATTGTTCAGTTATCCTAGGTATTTTGTTTTTCTTATATTTCACTGAACACACGTAATGGTGTTAAGTGTCCAGCTTGGCCAGTTCAGGTGAAGCAGCTCCCTGTTTAGAGAAAAGTGAAAGTTGGCTTCTCCCACAGTCACAGCAACCTGCCTGTCTGCTCGCTCCATGGACCAGCTGGGGCTGTGTCCTGGGAGTGCATCATCTTGAACTCACACCTTCCATCACACAATCACAGGTACCACGCACGTGATGCTGATGGGGAGGATAAACTCGGCTCTTTTAGTGCTTTTCCCCCAATTCCTGCCTCTTGCCATCTGGGGGGGACTTTGGCCTTTGTGCTGTCCGTGGGAGGTCACTTGGCTCTGGTTTGAGCAACTCAAATTTGCTTCAATCCAGCAACTGTGAAGTTTGACTTAAAAAGCCCTTGTGACACTTAGTGATTCCAGAGGCAACAGGCATTAACCAGTTCCTGTGTGACTGCTGTGGCACAGGATATAACTCTGTATTTTTAAGCGGCTGCCAGAACAGCGTACCTTTAAGCGTCTTGAAATACGTGGAGTGTGAAATCTGGTGGTGTTTATTTTGGGGTCTGGTGAAGTTCCCCATTATGCTTTGCTGAGAGGGACACATTAGCCAGGTTGGCAGCCACCCCCCTCTCTCAATAATATTGCATTTTAGGCTGCTGTTGGGTGGCAGAGTGGGGTGTGCTTCAGGAGCACTGTGCTGTCTGAGGGCACAGGCGGCGGTGGCAGCCGGTGTGGGCAGTTTGCAGACTCAGCCAGGGGAATACAAGTTCACATCACCTCATTCCTGCTACATGCAGCACTTGTCAGGTTCCCGTAGCACAGCACTTGCTTGGAGTTCCCATAATTCATGGGAGAAGTGAAGTAAATGCATCTGCACAAATGAAATACGTATTTCTCTGAATGGCTGCTGTGTGCGTTCTCCCGGCTTCCTGCAGGATTCGGGTGTTAGTGCTGGAGCAGATTTTGCAGCTCAGAGACTCCATTGAATTTATACCAGTCTTTGGTATAATAATGTTTCTTTTGGCAAAGCCCAGCTGCAGCTGAGAGTTCATAAGCACGTTCAGGTATTGGCTCACTCTGTTGCATTAAACAGTGCTTAATGCCGTTTGTCACCAGTTCTTTTGAGGCGAGAAACTTGTGCCTGCCTGCTCTCTGTGTCCCACTGCCAGGGCAGCTCAGTCGAAAACGCTTTCCTATGAATGTGTAACCAGTTCTCAGTTCACTTTGTGATACTTGCATAACTCTGTAAAACACCAAACCAAACAACCCCTCCAGGACATACTGCTTATGCCTCTTCTTATTCTGGGGTCCCTCAGTCAGATTTTAAATCGCAGTGAAAGGACAAGTTGCTGTTTTTGGGATCTGTTATCAGGAGTTCTACAGGTGCTTCAAACTCCCGATGAACCCGTTCAGAACCAGAGGCAGCACTCGTCCAGGCTTCTGATGTGTGTTTGTTTAATACTTCTTCCAACACACAGAAAATATTTGAAAAGCCTGGTGATTGTTCCTGGTGATTATTGCAACCAATGCTGGTGTGCTCAGTAATACTGAGTGGGTCCTTGGGGGGTTAGAGGAATGGGGGGAGGGGGTCATGCAGGGAGAGAGGGAGATTGCAGGCTTCATTCAGTGAAATCTTCTGAATGTAATTAAAATGTCCTTTTTCTCAGTTTTTACTGGCAGAGCTGAATACGTTTTACTTGAAGTTTGTCCTCTGGATGCCACCAGAACACTACCTGGTCCTGTTACGACTTGTCTTTTTCGTCAACGTGGGCGGTGTGGCCATGAGGGAGATCTACGACTTCATGGACGACCCGTAAGCCAGCCCTCTGCTCTCTGCCCCGTCCAGCCTCACTGCTTTGGGCTGGGTTTGCTCCAGCCTGTGGGCAGCCATCTCCGGGCAGTAGGTCAGCTTGTTGGGGACAAAAAGGCCTAATCCCAGAGCATCTGCATTGTGTTCCTTTGTTTTGGCGATAAAATTCTGGCTACATCTGGTGAGAGAACAGCTGCTGTTAAGGGCATCCCCTATGCACTGGTTTTAACCTTGTTTTTAATGGACGATTGCTCTTCTGGGAATGTAACGTGTAAATTGTGAGTAGAGGAGTACTGAACTCTGCTTTCAGGTTGGTAGCCAGGGACTACAGTCCTTAGATGTACCTTCTAAGGACAACAGGGCCCAAATGAAAACAATAATGTGTGTCTTTAAAGCACTTCTTTTCTTGAGCTGCCTCTCAGTGCTCCCTGGAGCTCTGGTGACATCCTCTTGCTGGTCAGCAAAGGTCACTGAAGGTGGAGTGCTCCCACACACAGCAGTGCACGTACTTCCAGGCTGTTCCTCCTTAAGCATGGGATCAGTCCTTGCTGCTGCTGTTTCTGCAGACCATGTGAGGCCTGGGAAAGCTTTGTTCTCAAAATCAGGTTTTCTTTTAAGTGTTAATGTGCCTGTGCCCATATCCTAAGTGTAAGACAGCGTCTGGCCTCAAGGGATGTTTGGTGTCTGTCTCTGACTGACACACAGTGTCTGTGTTCAGACTTTGGGGTTCCAGCAGTCTCTGAAGATGTTTCCCTTGGGAGGCTTTGACTCTAGAGCTGGGAATAAGGGTTGCCCCTCATTGCTTGTTGGGTTTCAAGACCTTTGGTAGTGGCAGGCTGTGGCCTCTGCTGTCGCTCCAGCTCAAAGGCAGGCACAGGTCTCTGCTTCTCTGGTGAGCTCATCTCCTGGCACCGTTCACAGTCTCCTGGTCCTTGTGTTTGGGTGGGAGAAACTCCTTTGCCCTCTGCCCAACCTCATGGCATAACATCGAAATTCAGGAGAATCACCAGTGCCTCACTGCTGATCCTTTCAATGGTCTGGAGAAGTTTATCCAGCAAGAGGAGACTCATCCTGAGCTGCATGGCTTCAGCGCTGCCACCACCGCTGTTCCTCACGGTGGGTGTGGTGGCTGCCCCCCTCACTCCTGAGGTTTGTGGCTCTGCTTATTCACCACAGAGCAGACCTTGTCAGAGCCTTCCTGCAGAACCTGGCATCTGGTCCTACCTCGTATCTTCTCTGCGAAGGGTTTTGCAACTGGACTTTAGCTCCTCCATGCATTTTGGGTCATCCAAGCAGAGACAATCTGCCCCCATTTTACCAGTTTGATGTGGTGTATTTTCACTTGCACTTAATTTTGAACCAAGGAATTATCTTGGATTCTTCCTGCTGTGTTGTAGGGAGAAGCTGCTGGGGAAAAGTGGGCTGCACCAGAGGCTCCCAGCACAGGAGAAACCTTCCTGACCTCTTCCTTCTGGAAACTCACTCAACTTCTTAATGGACAAAGGCTGGAATATTCCATTGACCTTCCTTGTCAGAAACGTGGCTCGTTGCCTTGTTAGCAGTGAGGGGGTTGGATCTCTCCAGCTGACCTGGCAATATTTACTCTAGAGAGCAGCAAAGTTCAAATACAAAGACTCTGTTTTTCTCATTCAGGATTCTTTGTCTCTGCAGATGGTTCTAGGACTTTGCTTTCAGGGACCTGGTCAGAGCACAGTGACAATATCTAGAATTTAAATAGTCCAAGAAGAGGGGACTTGAAGGGTTCTTGAAGCTGTTCTCCAGCCCTTATACACCTCACTCCTCTTGTGATCAATGTGCTGCCTGGGAGCCCCTGGGGACTGGCTGTGTGAAATGTACCCAACAGGAGTGTCTTGATGCAAATCTGTAGCGTTTGGCCTTGTCTTGTCTTCCTAGTTTCTAGCCTTCAAGTCTCTTCCAAGGACTCTGCACTGGGGCCATGAACTTTAATCTCGTTCATCATATAAAAAAAGGACTTTTCTTTAAAATCATTCATGGGTAGAAGGGCAGGAAACCAGCTCTCTTCCTCAGCAGCGCTAGGTTCTGCCCAGCTTTTCTGTTAGGGCTACCTTTAATTCTTCTCTCAGCATGCTGTCACGAGCTGGTGAGAGGAAAGGATGGCAGATGAGAAGCAGATCAGCAAAGCAGAACTGACCTCGTCATCCCAACAGCTTGAGTTCACAGTGAGAGATTTGCACTCTCCTTTTTTCTCTTATCCATGTGTGAAGGCTCGTTTCTGCCCATTTAATCTGTCTCACAGGATGAGCCACCTGGAGCAGTTCCTGAAGGCCATCCATCCACGTTGGTCCAGGCAGGGTCCTTCTGAAAATGGCATGTGCTCATCCCGTCTGCATCAGCAGTCACCTACACTGATTTACTGCATCGGATCTTTTTACTAGTGTATTTGGATGATTTTGTGTAGTTTGAACTCACGCATTGGGGTCAAATAGGACTCTCGGGCCTCGTGTTCAATAAGCTGTGTGTTTTGTGTGCTTGACTTGCAATGACTGCCCTGGATTCAGGAGAGGGAGAAGCTGTTTGCTCTCCCTGATGACATCCCTTCCCAGGTACCAAGAAGTGGAGTACCTTTGTCTGAGCAATAGGAGAACTCCTCTGAAGGAAGGGTGCTCTCCCAGTGCAGCTGCTGGGAGAGGGGAAGAGGAACTGGGAGCACAGGTGCAGTCACATCTCCCTCTGCCTCATCTCAGCTCCCCTGGAGGTGCCCGGGGCCCCTTCTGAACGGGGCATTGTCCCAGCTGGAGGTGGCAGCGTGTTGGGCAGGCTTGTTCCTCCACCTGGCAGAGGAAATCCTCATCGGGGATTTGTGAGGTGGCTTCTGTTTCGTTCACCACGTGGCGAAACCGGCCAGAAAATCTGGCCCAAAGAGCTCCCCTGCCTGCTGAATATCCCAGCACTTGCTAAGTCTGTCCCTGCGCCAGACAGGAGGCTGTGCATCACCCCAGTCGCAGACCAGAGCAGGGTTTCCCGGTGCTGCAATGCCCTGCAAGCACTGCAGAGGTCAGTTCAACACCTCCATCCCCTCTGGATCTCTGACATTGCTTTGCTCCCCCTCTCAGTAGTAGTTCTGCCACTTGAATTCCTCCTGGATGTGCCTCACTCCACCTCTCAGGCTGTGGCAGGAAAGGGGTAACAGTACATGGGATGCAAGAGGAGGGAATGGTAGGAAAACATCCTTCAGAACACGCTGGGGTTAAGAGGGAGGGTAAGGCCCTCTGCAGTTCCCTGGGGTTAAAGCAGAGACAGAACAAAGGCAGAATGAGGAATAACAAGGCAAAAAGAGCAGCCACCTGTACGTTTAGTTGGTGGCATTTCTATTCTCATGGTTTGTCTGGGCTATCTCCAGAGACATTCTAATAGTTAAGGTAGTTAGGGAGTTAAGGAGTAGGGCTAGCAGGAAAGTCCACCAAAAACCTGCTTTGGGTGGTTTTTTGAGTAGAAGACACCATCTGAAGGCTGCTGAGAAAAGTTAATGGTGTGTGTGCTTGCTCATGGTGCTCATGCTTGCTGGTGATTGCGGTGGTCGAGAGTGTTGCTTTTCTCACATTCAGTCTTCCTCAATTCTGATCACTTGGATTGCAGGAAACATTTAATTAAATCATGCCTTAGCGGTGGGGTGGGGGGTGGGGGCGAAATACATACAGCTTGTAGTAGCTTTCTCTTTCCTCTAAAGGGAATAAAATCCCATTTTAGACCCAGGGGATGGGTGATGGAAGAACAGAATTTAGTCTGCCAAGTGTTGTTGAACAGCACATCAGCCTGGCCCTGCGGTGCTGCGGTGGCAGGTTGCAGTGCAGTCCAATGCCTAAAAAGGGGGCTTGTTCTGTTGCCCAAACAGAACCCCATTTGATTCCTGACGTGTGAATCATCCCGTCTGTCAGGTCAGTGAGCTGTAAAAATCTCAGCTCTAGGAAGGACGTGACCAGACAAGGTGAGGAAGTGGTTTAGATGAAGCGCTTCCCCAGGTTTCTCTCACAAACTGTTACCTGTGAGGGCAAAGGGGTTCCTGCAGGAGCCACGTAGCTGGTTTGCGTTTATATATTTCCTGTGCAGGAAGAGGTGACTCAAAAGATGGTTGTATTTCCCATCTCTCCCTCTGAATAGGCGTCTTGATGCTCCTGCAGTGTAATTTCCTGCATTGCTGATTGATGAGTCCAGGGCAGCTTCTCATCGACTTGTCTGCTACTGCCTAAAACGAGCCCTGGGCATTAGATATCAGTTGTGTGTTTGCCCCAGGGCTGTGTTGTCCTAGAAGCGAAGTGCTGTCCTTGTGCCTTCAGGATCTTGCCTGTTTGTTGCTAAGCTTTCTTCTTTTAAAAGCCCTTCAGAGATCGTTAGTGACAGCTCACTGAATACCTCTTTGGGAAGAGAGTAGGGTTCAGAATGCAGATATAGAGGTCTAGCAGTGTGACTTGACGTTTGCAGAGGAAATCTAGGAGTTGAGCTCCTATTTCGTACCGTGCCCTGAACCTCGGCTCATCTCAGGCTGCTTAGATAATTGGTTTATGTGTTTTTACCAATGTCCTGAAAATGGGGACACTTCCTTGCGTCACAGGATGAGGGAGTTTAACTTTTCAGGTGTTTTCAGAGCCTCTGTAAGGAAATCTAAGTAAGTTGTCAGCCTGGATGGGCTTAGTACATGTGTAATCCAAACTAGACTTTTAGAACTGTGCAAAGCTGAGTGAAATTATTCCCCCAGCTGACTTCTTGTGACTATTTCTCTGAATGCCTAATTTTCTAGCTGCATTTTTGTTTAATCTGTGCCGTTATTTTGCAGGAAGTTCCACAAGAAGCTGGGCCAGCAGGCCTGGCTGGTTGCTGCTATTACTGCCACGGAGTTCCTGATCGTGGTGAAGTACGATCCCTACACGCTCACCCTCTCTCTCCCTTTCTACATCACCCAGTGCTGGATCCTGGGCATCATACTGGTGCTCACCTGGACGGCCTGGCGCTTCTTCATCCGGTAAGCGGTGGCCGTGCTGCGTTTCACTGAACAGGGGTGTTTCTGTGCCTGATCCGCTCAGTTTTCTTCCTGGTTGAGGCCTCTGGTAGCTTTGGTCTTTGTGTGGCCATTGTGTTGGTGCTGCTGTAAAAGCAGGTGAACTGCGCCTGGTCCTCCCGGGTGGGTGAGACGGCCGAGGAGATCAGTGGCTTGTTGAGATCAGTGCTCTAAGTTAGCCAGGACGGAGATGTTTTGTGGCTGCACTGGGAGAACAGTTTGCTGTGGCAGTTGCCCAGGCTGTGCTGGTGTTGGTGACAAGGGCCAGGTTCAAGGTGTGTGTGGTTTGGGTGCTGCTCTCTGCCAGTCAGTGGAGAGCAGCTGCAGGAGCCTGAAAGAACCACACCAGTCTGTGGAGGAGCCCCTGTGCCGCAGCAGCGCTTGCTCCTCTTGAGCTTGCTGTCGTGTTATGCTTTTAACGGAGATGTTTTGTGGCTGCACTGGGAGAACAGTTTGCTGTGGCAGTTGCCCAGGCTGTGCTGGTGTTGGTGACAAGGGCCAGGTTCAAGGTGTGTGTGGTTTGGGTGCTGCTCTCTGCCAGTCAGTGGAGAGCAGCTGCAGGAGCCTGAAAGAACCACACCAGTCTGTGGAGGAGCCCCTGTGCCGCAGCAGCGCTTGCTCCTCTTGAGCTTGCTGTTGTGTTACGCTTCCGAAAGAGGTGATAATAGCAATAATAGCAAGAGACACACATTTCAAGTCAATCAGAGCCAAATCAGGGTAACGGAGCTGGTGAGGGGTCTGGAGCACAAGTCTTGTGAGGAGCAGCTGAGGGAGCTGGGGGTGTTCAGCCTGGAGAAAAGGAGGCTGAGGGGAGACCTTCTGGCTCTCTCCAACTCCCTGAAAGGAGGGTTTAGCCAGGGGGGGTCGGTCCCTTCTCCCAAGGAATAGGTGATGGGACAAGAGGAAACGGCCTTAGGTTGCCCCAGGGGAGGTTTAGGATGGAGATTGGGAACAATTTTTATGGGGAAAGGGTTATTGCACATTGGAATGGGCTGCCCAGGGCAGTGGTTGAGGCCCCATCCCTGGAGGGCTTCAAAAGCTGGGTTGACACAGTGCTTAGAGACATGGTTTAGTGATGGGTTTTATCAGAGTTGGGTTGATGGATGGACTCAATGATCTTGAAGGTCTCTTCCAACCCAGACAATTCTATGATCAGCAGCTCCAGAAATTTAAAGCCAAACGGCTCGAGGCCATGGTTACTTGTGCCCAGAGCAGACATTCCATGTTGTTTTGACTGTGCACTGAAATGGTTCATTCACATCCTAGTGCCCCCCTCTCTCTTCTCCCTTCCAGTGACATCACGTTGCGGTATAAGGAGATCAGGCGACAGAAGCAGGAGCACAAACACGAGAAGGACAAATGCCTGAGCAATGGCGACGGACACTCATCGGTGCTGGAGGAACAAAACGGGAACAAACTGAGGGAGAGGAAGCTCTGAGCAGCAGAGAAAGGGCTAAAAAAGGGACTCGTAGTGCTCAAGGCGGCCTGGTGGACAGTCCAACCTCATCCTCCCTAACGTGTAATTGTCGTTGTTAGCTCTCCAGCTGTGGGACTCCTGGGGAAGGAAGAGCTGTCCCCTGGGTGCGCACCCCCTCTCTCCTGGCAGGCCTGGGCAGGGTGGGAGAGAGTCTGTGTGGAGGGAGGCCGGGCCCAGCGCCGGTGCGGCGAGGTGGGACCCCCCTCAGGCCTGTCCTGTGTCTTCCTTCAGAACCAGGTTTGGAGACGAGGGGCTCTGAAACACAGTGCGAAGGGAACCCGGCCGGTGCGTTCCCAGTAGCCTGTGAGATTTCCATGGTGACGTTGGGGCATTAGGAACACTCGCTCTGGAGAGTGCGCAAACCAGACGCAGGAAATGAATTTAATGTGGGTTTCGTTTGTTTTTTTTTTTTTTCTGCTGAAACTACCTTGAGCTGTGGAGTTCAGATGAAAGTGCTCGGCCACCGCTGAGCAGCACCGCAGCGAGACAGACGTAGGTAACCAGAAGCTTGTGAACAAGTTGCGTACCTTGCACAGCCCGTAGCGCAGCACACTGCTGTCACGGCCCCCGCGCGGGGCTGCCGCCTTCTCCGCTGTCCTGGGGCAGCCTCTACAGCTTTATCTTGTGTCACATCTCTAGGGAGACAGACAGCTGCTCCTTACTTCTTCTCTCTTTTTTTTTTTTTTTTTTTGGTTTGTATTTTTAAAAATTTTTCTTTTAGTCTTGGTCATCTCTGAAGGGAAGGTGGGATAGGGAAGGTCAGCCTGCCTCTCCCTCGCTCCCTGGAGTAAATGCATTGCAAGTGGAAGGCTGGGAGTTACTCCATCAGTCTTAAGTTATTTGCCTTATTCTCAGCTCTTTTAGTTCTCTTACCCAGAACGTTTCGTTCTGGGTGGCTGTCCCTGGGGACCCATCCAGCTCAGCCACATCCCTCCCAAGGCAGCTCCTGGCCAAGCAACCTCCCAAATCGGGCTGGAAAAGGTGTTTTCTGTGGCCACGCACAAAATAGCTGTTAGAGCCCTGCCCAGAGAGCAGAGGGAGGCAGAGCCCTGGTTGTCCCCGGCGCGGTGCGGCAGCGGGGGCTGCCCGCCAGCCCAGACAGCGCTTCTACTGCCGACTCAGCATCTAGGGGGAGAAATTGGAAACCTGGGCTGTGTTTTATATTTTCCAGGTCATTATTCCCAACTGTACGTGCTGCACTGAGCATCCACTGTGGAACCTCTGCTCTGAGCCTTTGCTCTGGCGTCCGAGGCGCTGATGGAGCCGTAACCATATCACTTCTTAAATACTCTGATCTAGCCAGGGTGTTTTTCAGGGAAGTGTTTATCCAGAAGAAATTGACATAAATACCACCAGTAAAACCTCACCGGTGCAACCCCAGAGTCTCTGAGTGGCAGGAGACCTGCAGAGCTGCTGGCGAGCAGACACCCGCGTTTCCCATCCCCTTTGGTCTTGTAGGTGAATGACAACCACAATCTGCATTTCTCCTGTGTTCACAGTGACCCAAATTCGTTCCACCCCTGAGGAAGGGGCACGTAGCAGCAGGGCAGTCTTAATGGGTTAATTAATGGAGCAGTTTGGTTGCACATGGAGAGCTCAGCGAAGGCAGGGGAGTTCATGGGCCAGGGCTGCCCCGTCCCTTGGCAGGAGGGGGGTGTCCGGTGTGAGAGGTGACACCAGGCTGGACGGTCTCCCCGTGCTGCTCTTGCAGGGTGGTGTCTGCTGCTGGGGGCAGCGGGGGGCCCAGGGCTGTGAGGGGTTTGGCAGTGGGCAGAGGGCCCAGCTGAGCAGGTATTTATCTCTACGCCTTTCCACCCGGAGTCCTTCTCGTTCCCCCTTCAGGCCAGTGGCAGGAGCTGTAGCTGTCAGGTAGCTCGTCCCGGTGTGTCGTGTCGTGTCGTCCCTGTTGGCTGGGCTCAGGTCCCCCCCTCCCCATCCTGTCTGTGGATTAACACTGTGCCCCCCGCCCTGACCCCTTGGCGGTGCATCCTCCGGGGCTGCCCCATGGCTGGGGGGCAGCAGGCACCCCCGAGGCAGGTCAGCTCTGTCCTCCCGCTCCCCCTCCCTGCCAGAGACCCCCCTGGGGACCTTAGAAACAACTGGGGAGGAGCCCCCATCCCCTGGTGACGATCCTGGAGCTTGGACCTCACACATCAACCCCTGACCTGTTTGTCTGCATCCGTCTCCGTGGCGTTTGGTTTGTGGGGGGGCCGGCCCGGTGTAATAAAGCGGTGTTTGTTTGCTGGTGTGCTCTTTGGTACCACGGCTGCCTGGCCCTGCTCTGTCTTCCCGCTGGGACCGGGGGGCTGCGGGGGCCTGGTCCGAGTCACCCCCATGGGAAGGCTGTGGTGCGGGGGGGATGCTGGCCCTCGAGGTCATGAACGTGTCTGGATTTGCAGAAAAAGGGTTGTTACACCCCCTGGGTCCCCTGCTGTAGTTTGGAAAGGCTTCTTGCGGTGTGTTTAGGGGGTGACGTCCCCCCTGTGTGTGCCTCGGGCTGTGCACAGCGAGGGGTGGGCTCGTGTCCCCGGCCCCCCTGCCTTTAGGAGTCCTCTCCTGATCTGCCCCTGGGAAACGCTCCAAAGCAGCAGGTACAGGGGAGAAGAAAGGACACGGAGAAGCCTCACCTGAGTAACGTTTGGGGTGGCACAAGGGAGACCCTCCCTGTGGAGATGAGAGGCAGCAGCCTCCTGTTCTGCCCGTCTCTGGCCATGCCCTGCCTCACCTGCATCAGGAAACGGGAACAGGGTCATCCTCCTCCTCCCTAACACCCCCAGGGAGAGGTGCCACCGGGCAGTCCTGGGCCTTTCCCAGCTGCTTTTTTTTCCCTTTCCCGGTGAATTTTTGGTCCTATTTCTGGCCTTAAGGGGCCTGTATGATGCTTTTGGAATCCTCGATTTCTGACGAGTGTTTTGACCAAGAATAAGTAGCTTTTTCCAGGGGGGGGGGCTGGCTGAAGTTCCCCAGAGGCAGGAGCCACCCAAGGTTCCTCTGCTGGCTCCAACCAAAACGCCACCAGGGCTGTGTGTGCCCCCTGGCCACGAGTTGGTCATGGGAAGGGTTTGTCTGGCAGTTGGCATCGTCGATCCGCTCTTATTTAATTACCCCCATGGTTATCTGAGGCCTGTGAACACCCCCAGGGAGAGGTGCCACCGGGCAGTCCTGGGCCTTTCCCAGCTGCTTTTTTTTCCCTTTCCCGGTGAATTTTTGGTCCTATTTCTGGCCTTAAGGGGCCTGTATGATGCTTTTGGAATCCTCGATTTCTGACGAGTGTTGGGGAGCTTTTCCAGGAGTGTTTTGACCAAGAATAAGTAGCTTTTTCCAGCGTGAGGGGGCTGGCTGAAGTGCCCCAGAGGCAGGAGCCACCCGAGGTTCCTCTGCTTGCTCCAACCAAAACCCCACCAGGGCTGCGTGGGCCTCCTGGCCACGAGCTGGTCATGGGAAGGGTTTGTCTGGCAGTTGGCATCGTCAATCCGCTCTTATTTAATTACCCTCATGGTTATCTGAGGCCTGCACTGAGCCCAGGGGCGGTAACGAGCTGGAGCCGTCTGTTGGCAATAGGAACCTGCTGTTTAACAGATCAATTGGCACCTGCCCCAGGCTGGGGAGATCTTCAGGGGCCAAACTCAGGCCTTTGGAGGTTCCCAGAACTCGGCCAGCCCCAGCCCCATTGCAAGCAGCTCCCTGGGGGGCAGTTGCCTTTGCCGTGGGGCTGGGGCGATGGAGCCTTGAGGTGTCCCCCAGAGCCGGGGTGCCCGGACACAGGGACAGCCCCCCGTGTCCCTCGGAGCACCATCCCCTGTCCCTGCTGTGGATGGGGTCCGGAGCTGGGGAGGAACCCAGGGGGCTGCGTTACAGCCCAAGCTGGCTCTGTTTTCTCCCTGAAAATTAATTCCCCACCAGGAAAATCATCTCCCGGTGCTGCCCCTGGAGCAGGAGGAGGTGGGTGACCTGGCCCTGCTGCGGGATGTGCCGGGTTTCCCTGGGAGTAAAGGTCCTTTGGGGTGTCCCCGTGCCCAGCCGAGACCCCCTCTGCGTGGGGTGCCTGGGGTTCTTCCCCCCACAGAAGTGGGATGATCCTGGTTTCTCCAAGCCCAGTGAATCTCCTGCGGTTTGAAATGGGTGCTCTGGTGTTTGGGGCAGGTGGGTGAGGGAGGGGAAGATCTCATCCCTGTGCCGTGGCAGCGGGAGGGGGGCTGTGGGGTGCTGCCCCTGTCCCAGGAGAAGGCACCTGCCAGCGGGCACCCGGCTTTTTCTGCTGAAAGGGCTTTTTGGGCCAACTCCCGTGTCGATGCCGCTTGGTGCTTTTGGGAAGGAACCTCCGTCTGCCGCGCCCGGGGAGAGGAGAAGCCATGGGTCTTCCTCAAGATGCAGAGCCAGGACCCCCCTGCTGCACCCCCGGGACCCCGGGAGCTGCTGGGGTGGGATGGGGGAGCCCATGACCCCCCCCCATCCCCGCGGAGAGAGGAGCCGCCTGGGGCAGGGAAAGGTGAGGATCCGGGGGGCTGGAGCTCGGGTGAGGATCCACCCACCCCAAACGGCCTCCAGGGGGGGAGCAGC